GAAACAAGCCAGCGTCTGGCCGAGCTCAGGCAGCGGGTGGAGCTGTTTGCCAGGGCCTTCCCCATGCCGGGTTTTGATGAGCACTGAAGGCACCTGGGAAAGGAGGCCCACAGACTGGACGTTACTCTCCTGCCCCGCCGGGCCAGCGGAAGGCAAGGGAAGGCCTTTCTGGTTTTTATGGAGGAGGGAAGGCTTCCCACTTAGGGCAAGAGCAAAGTATAGTTGCCTTCCCAGAATTTGTAGCTGAGAAGATTTTTTTTCTTTTTTTAGTAATAAGATTTAGAAGGAGGGCCCAGGAGCTCTGTGCTCTAACCCTCTGCCATTGTCATCGCAGTGTTCCAGACTCCTGCTCTTTTTTGGGCAGGGGGAGTACCTTTCTGAGCCAGTGGAAGGGGTGGGTAGGCACCCTCCTTCCTGTTTTTATCTAATAAAATGCCAGCCTGTCCTGAGTGTCTATTACTGTGGGAGGGGTCCCCTGGGCGAAGCAGTGATTCATCTCCCTCACGTGTGCCTCCTTTCCTCCCACCACCACAAGGACCCCGGGGGCTGCAGCCTCCTCTCTCTGTCTCTGATCAGAGCCAACACCAGACGTGATTAGCAGGCGCAGCAAATTCAATTTGTTAAATGAAATTGTATTTTGCCCACGGCTGCTTCTGTTTGATCCCAGGGGACAGAGGGATGCAAGGGAGGGGACGGTGGGGAGCTGCAGGGGGAGGCCCAGGTGTGACACGAAGGGAGGCAGCAGCCTTGGGCAGGGGAGGAGAGAGCTGCCTCTCTGGAAGCAAAGTGCCCTATCCTGAGCAGGCCGGGCGGCCTGAGGCAGCCTGAGTTGAGCAGTGCCGCCCCTGGGCTGGCGCCCAAAGCCTAGGCTAACATGGGGCCTGCCACGTCGCTTGGCACTCAGAGGCCTCTGCTTCCTGCTGGCTCACGTTAGCCTCGTTCAACACGTAGCCTGTGCCACACCCTGTGAAGCCTGGGTAGGAGGGCGGAGGGGCTGCCTTGGACCTTTTGGGTCGACCCCTGCTGCTGCCTTCCCTCCTGACAACCTCCTCCTCCACTCGGGACTCCAGCCAAGGGTCAGAGGTGCTTCCGCTGCTGGGAGCAAGGGAGGGTGGGAGTGGAGCTGCCCCTCCCCCCCCTCGTGGGAACTGGGCCTGGGTAAGCAGGAGCTGGACAGGGTGGCCAGACCAACGCCTTGGGGGCTGAGGGGAGGAGTGGAAGAAATGAGTGGGCTGGCAGGTTGGCTGTGGTTTACATGGAACTTGCAGCCCAGCCTGGCTTAGAAGTCTGGTCTGTCCTTCTTCAGCTTCTTATAGTCCGTGGAGACAGCAAGGAACTAAGAGGAGAGGGAGGGGAGGTCGCAATGAGCACCCCAAGCCTCCCTTTGCTCCTAGTGTGGGAGGGGTGGGTCCAGGGACCAGGAGATGGGGGAGCAAACCTAGAGCCACCAGGAGGTACCTTGTATTGGTCAGTGGGGCTCAGGCGGTTCCAGGGCTCCGGGTTGTTCTTTCGGTCCCAGCTGTGGAGTAGGAGGGGAGAGTTAGGGCTTCCTGCCTGGGACCTAGGACTCTGGAACCCAGTGTGACCCCAAGCTCCAGCCAGGGTCTCTGCCCCCACCTTAGTACCCCTCCCCCTCCCTGGCTTCTACCCTGGGCGCTATCCCAGAGACTGAGGGGGGGCATGTTAGTGGGTGCTGACGAGGGTTACTACAAGAAGCCTGTCACCATTGTCAGTGTTGAGTCAGGCGACAAACTGATGACCCAGCTTGGGGACTCCCTCTCCCTCCCTACAGGGTCAGGGTCCTTCGTGGGAATCAGGCAGAAATCTCAAGGGGCTGGGGTTTCGGTCATGTGTCTCAAATTCCAGTGATGCCATGGGTGGTGTGCCTTTCCCTTCCCAGAGGACCCACGGCTCCTGCCACCTCTGGCCGAGGGTGAAGTCTCTGTACCACCTTGGGCCCCAGCAGCTCACCCAGCCACAGCCCCAGTGCTCTGGTGTGGACACAGAGGTACCCAAAAGCCTGAGGCCACCAGCAGAGCCACGTGGCTATGGCAACCAGGCCAGGAGCTGCACAGTTCCAAGTTGTGAGCCACAGAGGAGTGAGTGGCCAGGTGGGCTGGAGGGAAGGAGAGGGTCCCCCAGGTCAGCAGCCGGCTCTAGCCCTGAGAGGCCAGTGGTAAAGTCGGAGGTTCATGGCCTGTGATCCCCTCTAGAGCCACCCATCCTACCATTCCTGAGAGGTGCCTGCGTTCCCACCCCACCTTGCCGCACCGAGGACCCCTGCCAGCATCCCAAGCCAGGCCTTTACCAGACATCAGGGCTGCGCAGGGCCAGTCGTAGCAAGTAGAGCGCAGCACTGCCCATGCCCAAGCCAATGAAGCTGATCATCGGGATGAGCTGCGGGAAGACAGAGGGCACTTTCAGCCTTTCAGCTCCCTCCCTGAAGTTACCAGTAGCCCTTTACAGCTTTTCTGCACCCCCCACCCCTCCACCCCTGTCTGCTGGCACTCCCTCCCTTCTGGGAGAGGGTACCGGAACCGCCTACAACCGTATTTTCTGCTGTGGTCTCCCTCACCCTACAGTGAACCCGTCCAAGGTAGTTGAGGGACATGGGGGTATATTGCAGGGACAGATTGGGGGCAACCCGGGGGAAGATTAGGAGAGTTGAGGGCACTAGAGGATTTGGAGGGCAGGGCAGCGAGGAGAGAGTTAGGAGTTAGAATCTGTGGCTCTGAGGACAGAACTCACCGCTGGATGCCTTTTGATCTGCCTGTATAAGCGGGCCCCAAGACTGTTTCCTGCCATATCGCCTCTCCAGTGTCTGGCTTCTCCAGTGGCTTGGTCCCTCTCTCCTCCTGGGGTCCCACCCCCCGCTGGGGAGGGAGGGATCAGCCTAGCCCAGCCCGGCCCAGCCTGGCCCAGCCCCGCAGCAGCCTGCTTCTTTAGACTCATCCCACTCTCACTTAGCTGGTTTCTGCCTTGGGTTCCTGGCCCAAAGCAGGAAGGGGAGCTTTTGGGGAGCCAAAAGATTTCTGTTCTCTGACCTCCTCCAGATACCTGTATCTGGCCCAAGAGACACCGTCATACTTGGGCTTTGGGCCTCACTGGCACAGGACCCAGAGACTGGTTGAAGAGGTGGGAGGAGGGGTGGCCACAGGACAGACAAATAGACCCCGAGCAGAATGTACCTGTCGAGTGTTCAGAGGTGGAACCAGGAGGTGCCAGGACCAGTGAGGACATGTATAGCACTTCTTTGGCACCCCTAGAGCCATCCAGGAACTAGCAGGTCCTGAGGCACTTACTTGGTCCTGCCCCCTCCACAGTGCAGAGAAAGGATAGTCCCACATCCCTAAAGCTGCCCCAGCTCCTCTTGGCCTGAGCTGGTTCTCCAAGTTGTGGCTGGACTGGAATAGCGGTGGGAGGCTGGAAGAAACAGGTGTATCTTAATTCCAGTTTAGGATAGAATAAGTCAGTTGTTGCAGTTTGGGGCTTTGAGAGACTTGCTGGGGTAGGGGTGAAGGTGCAGCCCCTCAAGGAGGCCACTCTCTGCCTCCAGCTGTGGGATGGAGGAAGAGAATGGAGGGGGATAGCTGAGATGGAAAAAACGTTCAAGTAGGAAAGAAAACAAGACACAGAGACAGAACTGCCTCTTGTTCCTTAGCCAGCTCAGGTGCACACTAGGCTGCCAGGGTGGGAAGGTTCACAGCTTCAGTCTTTGGGGAATTGGGGTCTTAGGGATGCTGAGCCGAGCCCTAACCGCCTCTCCCCACTTCGCACTGACCGCCACCCTCCCGCATCCGCAGCTGTATCCTGCCCATCTGTCCCTTCTGCCCCAGAGCCCGCCCGGGAAGAGCGGCGGTATGGGCGGGCCGTGCGCCCGCCGCTGGGCCCCGGGGACAGGGAGGGAGAGGGCCCTTCCTGGAGGCCCCCTCCCTTTCCCCGCGTGCTGATACCTCCCCCGCCCCCTGCACTGACAAGCGCGGTTGTAATTAGGCTGCGGGGTCCCAGGCTCTCCGCCTCCCTCCGGCGGATAATGAGATAAAGTGTCAGAGACTCGGCGAGAACAAAGAGACAGAGACTCGCGGCGTCGCGTGTGGGGGGCGGGGGAGGGGGCTGACGGGATGTCAGAGCCGCCAGCTACTCAGAGCCCTCCCTGAGCGCCTGCACTTTCCGGGCTAGGGCAGGGAGGGCGTGTCCTGTCACCTGTGCACCCCGGCCCTCTAGTCTCTGGGACTAACAATCCCAGAGCTCGAGCGAGCGGCCGCACAGCTGGGCTGCACATCTGGTTCTCCGTGGCACAGCTGGGGAGCCAGGACTCAGGGAGGGACGCCGGGCCTTTGTGCCCGCTCTTTTGCTGTCGTGCTTTCGCCCGCCTCCCTGTGCCCTTTCTCTGAGTTCTGGTGACCTCGACCTGGCGTGTCCCAGACCCTCTGTCTCACTCCTTTCTTAGAGCCACGGCTATTTCTGCAGCCTGGGTCTCGGTCCCGCAACCGAGCTACAAAATTACATTACTGCTTCTGCTCCCGCCTCCCCGCGACTCCTTGACCCTTCACCTTCTCTGGTCCCTGTCTCTGTGAGTTTGTTTCTAAGCCGCCTCCCATCTCTGGTACCCGCCTCCGGACCGTGACTTCTGGGGCCGATCTGGGACACGGAACTCCTTGGGTTCCAGATCCCATCTCTCCTGCTCCCCGCACTTGCCCGCCACACTAGCCAGCGGGATGAGGGACCGCAGGAGTCATTAGCCTCAGATTAGGCACAGCGGAGAGTCCCGCTGGGACCGGACGCTGAGCACTACACCGCACCAGGACGCTAATCCTCGCACGGGCGGCGCAGCAAGGCAAACGCAGCTGGCTCCGTGCAGCCTGAGGGTTGCGGGGGCGGTGCGCGCGGGCGCTCCCTGGAGGCAGAGCAGCACCCAAGCTCGCGAAAGAGGCCCCGGGCGCCCCCTGTGGGGCGGCACCGGCCCTGCACTCCCGGCATTTGGGCCGGAGAGTCCGCGCCTGCAGGGTCGATTCTTGCCCATCATTCCCGCCACTCCCATCTCCCGCCGCCAAGGCGGTGGGTCCTGCAGCCTCCACTCTTCTGGTGTGAGGTGGGGCGGGAGGGCGGAGAGCAGACGCGGAAGCTCCCGCCTCGCCAGCCACAGGCAGAACCCAGGGTTCAGGCTGGTTCCTCTCTCGGAGCTGGGCGGCCTGGAGCTTCATCTCAACTCTGGGGCTGCAGGTCTCTAGACTACCCTTCGTCTTCTGACTCGGCCTGCCCTAGCCTCTGGCTTCCCTTCTTTCTGTCTCTTTCTTCTTCAGGCCGTCTGTCTGTCTCTCTGTCTCTGTCTGGCTCTGTCTCTCTGGGTATGTCTATGTCTCTATTCCTTATCATTCTGGCTGTGTTTGTCTGGCTCTCTCTCTGCTTCTCTCTCTACATGGCTTTGTCCCTCTCATCGGTGTCTCTGTGTCTCTCCATCCCTCTGTATCTCTCTACCTCCCCGTGTCTCCCTTTACAAATGCCTCTCTTTGTCTCCCCCACACCCCATTTCCCAGCTCTATTCCTATTCTCTGGTTTGCTGACCCTGAGGAGCTGCAGCAGTCCAACAGGACAGCCTGGGGACACCTCGGGGCACAGCCCCGGGTCCTCCTCCTGGTCACCTCCACATGCCTATCACCTGGGCGCAGCCTTGGTCTTCCCGCTGTAGCTGTGGGACGTGGAGGCGGCGCCTGGGAGGTAAGACACAGTACCCAGCATCTGCTCGGCAGCCCCGGGGCCCCTGACCCCCTCTGTCGCTATTAAGGGCGCTAGGTCCCGAGGCTCCAAGATGATCACGATTGCATCAGCCAGACAGAAGCAGAGCTGGGAGCTGCGCGGCGAGCGAGCAAGCAAGACAAAGACGCCCGCGCCATCTGTTTATGCAAAGCGCTCTCCGCCCGGACCCCGGCATCTCCCCGCCTGGCCCGGCTCCGGGCACAGGGTCATAAGCCCGCTCCCACCCGGCGCTCCCGCCGCGCCTTGGCTTTTCCTCTCCCCAGCACCCAGAGGGGCCGCGGGGCGGAACAGGGAGGGGGCGGGGGTGTTGATGTGATTGGAGCGGACGCTGCTGTTTCTTCAATAATGGATGGAGATGATGCGGACGGCGGAGCCGAGCCGGCCCGGAGAGGAGAGAGGAATAAAAATGGGGAAAGGAAGGAGTGGGGGCGGGAGACTCACCCAGGCGCGCGGACGCGTCACACTGTCATTCGGATACACGCCACCGCGCGGCTCACACCCAGGCACACGCCCACGCACTGTCACTGAGACACACACACCTGCAGGCAGAGAGCAACACACACTCACCAGTGGATCTTTCTTATTTTCACACATACACAGTCCTGCAAGCAGAGACACACGCAACGCCCCCACGTGGGGCAAACCCAGGCAAGCAGAGTGCACAGACACGTAGACACACCAAAGCACATGTGCACACCCAGAAACCTAGACACCCTGGGGCTTAGACAGACAGAAATTAGAGATGGGGGCTAGGGAGTAGGGAATAGACAAAGCCCACATAGACCCACTCAGAGGCACACACCTGGGGCTTTGATAGACATACCTCACCCAGGGCACACACAGACACACACATACCACACGCCAGGGGTGCAGACCCCCATGATTGCCAGGAGCACAGAGAGCCCTGACCACGAACACCCACTCAGAGGCTGACACGTTTGCAGCAACTGCCGTCTGTGCCCTGCGGGGTGGAGTGTGGCGGAGAGGTCGTCAGGGTCTCCGAAGCAGGCCTTGTTAGCCTAGCAGTATAATGAGGTTGCAGTGACAGGAGACGCCTGGGGCTGTGGACTCAGAGACCTGTGGCCCCCATTGACTGCCTACAAGCTTCCTTCCCTGCCTCAAGGGTAGGTGCAGCCACCTTGCGCCCCCCCTGAGCAGTATACCCAGCAGTCCCCAACAGCCCCAACTCTTAGCAGTTTGGGAGAGGGGGCTGCACTAGGAGAATCCTTGGTCCCCTACATGGCTGTTGGTGGAGGTTTAAGAGAGGGTCACTCTGTACCCTATCTTGTCCCCCATACTGCCAATCTTCTGACTTTAAGGTCCCCCTTTTATGCCAAGAGTGGGGTGGGCAGTGAAGCGGATTGAGGTGGTGCAGGTGTGTATTTTACCCTAGTATATCAGCCCTTCCTCCATCTGTTTTCAATTCAGCGTGCTCCTTGGCCTAGACTTATGACCTTTGCAGCATGTGGCAGTATCATCCATCACCCAGGCAGTGGCTTGTGGGATGGAGGGTACTGGGGGCTCACACCCCGTGGCTACCACGCCTTCTCCCTGGACCTACTCTCCGGCCAGTGAGCTAGGGCTCAACAGTCCTAGCGAGTACTGAGAGGAGGCCCTGACCATGGGGCTCAATTGCAACACTGGGCTTGTGTCCCCACTCCTGCTACCCCAATATCCCTCCTTCGAGCTCAGCACAGCCTGTCTCCCCCCTCCTCCCGCCTCCCTTCTCTCGGGCCCTTTGCTTAATTTCCTATTAACTGCTGATAAATCCAATTAAACCGCCACTCTAATTAGGGACAGCTGCCGGCTCGGCGAGGCTAGGGAGGGGGGCGCCCCCCTAGCGTAGGGGGAGAACAGCCTTTCTCCCTGCTCCTCAGCACCAGCACCCCACACACCAACATCGCCGACCAATGAGCCAGTAAATTGGTTTTGCTTCAGCATTGTGGGGGGCTCTCTCGAGAATCTGGGGGGCTCCGATGTTTTGAGTTCCTCAGACCTTGATGAACAGAGGCGACTCGAGCACTCGTAGTCCCTCCTCTCACGTATTTGTGGTAGGCAGATCCCAAGGAAGGATGGGGGCAAAAGGCTTGATGTGTATGGTTGGCGTGTGTGTGTGTGTGTGTGTGTGTGTGTGTGTGTGTGCGTGCGCGCGGGCGCAGGGGCTTGTGATCTACTCATATTCCAGCCGAGTTGAGATTCAAGGGGGTCTTCCTTTATGACTCCGCAGCTGCTCCTCAGGCATCCGGGACAGTCAAGGGCAAAGGGAACAGAGAACCGAACCCGGTTCCGCAGTCTTCTGGTGTGTGCTTCCCTACCCCCATCACACCTCAGCCTTCTGGAAGGAGGGGGGGTGCGCCCGTCCTGGGCCCTCCTCTTCCCCAGCCCAGCTGAGCCTCTGCCCTCCCCCCGCCAGCAGCAGATGGTGCCTGGACTCCCGCTGCCAACCTTGCTAGGCGGTGCCAACCTCAGTCCTGGCAGACAACAGGCAGACAAGAAGAGGAGCTCCTGGCTAGCCAGGCCGACCCTCCCCCACCCTCCCCAAACTCAAGACCCTCTGCCTGATCCACTCAAGCGACTACCCCAGCCTGCCTCTTACTGGTCCACTCCCAGGTCCCCAAACTCCTCGTCTCCTTCTGCTCCCTTCCCCACACCTTCCCGGTCCTCACCACCTGCCGCCCTGACCAGGCCGACGTATTTGCATATTTACATATGCAAATGACATCATTTGCATACGGTGCTCCACAGGGGGGCGTCTCCGCGAGAGCCCGTTAGCTGTCTGCCCAGCGTCCTCATTCCGTACCTGTCGGAAGGGCTGGGGCAGGAGCAGCACGGGAGGGGGTAGCCCCCCCCCCGCCCCCGGCCTAGCTAGCTCAGTTCCCAGAGGACTTGAGGAAGTGTTGCCATGGTGACGGCACGCACCCCACCCCCTCCCAGGCCTAGGGTCTCGGGCTTGGTGTCTCCGGTTCTCTCCCCTTACCCACCCTCCACTCCCTCCCTAGCCCTCGCTCTCCAACCGAGATCTTGCATCGCCCCCTGGCGGCTTACTCGGCGCTGAGCCAGGTTCGTAAATGCAAGAGGGGCTGCGGGCGGCTAAATCACCAAAAGCTAGGAGGACCTACCCTGCTGCGCGATCTTGCTTCCAGCCGCAGGGGCTCAGGGGCGGCGGCTCTAGTCCGGCTCCCCTTTCTTCACTACAACAGAGGCCTAGCCTGGCAGACGCACCTGTCTCCCCACCTCCCACCAGCCTCAGCTCAGATGGGTCTCAGTTTATCAGATAGTAGCGAGGTGGGACAGCTGGGGAGGATACTCCACCCCTCTGCAGGCCCCCTCCTTGCCCCCAATTAAAGCACAACTTTTCTTGGCCTGGCACTATAGTTCACGGTTGTAATCCCAGCACTTTGAGAGGTCGACGTGGAAGGATCGCTTGAGGCAAGCAAGGAGTTGGAGACCAGTCTGCAAAGCGAGATCCCCGTCTCTACATTAAAAAAAATTTTTTTTGACTGAATGTGGTGGCTTTTGCCTGTAGTCCCAGCTATGCGGGAGGATCACCTGATCGCCTGAGCCCAGGAGTTCAAGGTTACAGTGAGCTATATAATTGCACTCCAGCCTGGGTGACAGAGTGAGATCTTATCTCAAAAAAAAAAAAACAAAAAACAAATAAAAGAACAACTTTTCTAACTTTTGTCAAAAGTTTAGTAAATTCACAACATCCAACAGTTAGCCCCCCCCCTCCCGCCCCACTTCTCCTAGTGAGATATTTTCTCTTTCCAGCTCTTGCAGGCTTAGGCTGGAGGGGTTTCGGGTGCGAGCTGCTTTAGGCACCAGGTATCCGAGACCCCAGGCCGGGGTAGGGGGTGGGAACCAGTCCCTTCCCAGAAGCCCGGTCAGGCTGGACTTCCCACCCCTCCCCCACCCGGCAGTCCAGTTGCTTTAGCCCTTGTCCTTCCCAACCTCTACTGGGCCCGCCCAGAATGGGGGCATGGGTGTCTCCCGCCAGCAGGCGCCTGCACTCCTAAATCTCCTCCAGGAAGTCGGCAGGGAACAGCCCCATCTTGCGGCCGGTGTAGACCTTGACGTAGCCACCGGTTTCGTCTCCTTTCTGCACCACGATCTAGCGGATTAAGATTAAGGGGTAGGAGAGGAATCAAGGGAAAAGGCAGAAGAGAGCAGGGGAAACCGGGTTTAGAGAGATTCATTTTAGCCTCATTAATGGATAAGATGTCCAAGGAATGTGGTCAGCATTCAGGCCTGTGATTGGGTTGGGGCACCAGAGCTACCTGGTCCTTCTTGAGTGTGATCTGTCCGATCTCGCGGTTCCCCACGAAGGATCTCGTTACTCGGTGCACACGTTCTCCAGCCCGGACTCGAATGATGAAATTTGGAGGGAAAAATCCGACCTTCTCCCCGATTTTCCCCTGGGGAAGATAGAATAAATCTCTCAATCTCAAATTCTAGTCTCAACTCATATCCCACCCTGGCCCCAGCCATTTCTCTTACCCGCCACCACTCCTCATTGGAGTCATCAATGACTGTAATCTTTTCTCCTGGCCTGGGAGAGGAAGGGAGGGGCCTCAGGGATTTAGGGGACTCACTCACATACGAGGTCCCTGGCTGTGCCTCAGGTCCAGCCTCAATAGGCTCCAAGACCCTTTTCAGCCCATAGGAAGCCCAGTTCACCCCTTTTACTCCATACAAATCCTCCCCCACCCCTCAAGGCCTCTCACGGAAAATCCAGATCATCCTTCTCCAGGGCTTTGAACCGGTAGAGAGCCACAAAATAATGAGACTGCTGGAAGCCAGGCTGCTTGTGCTGGGGGTAAAAGGAGGTGATTAGTCTCAGGGCTCCTCTATCCCCTACTGATGGGCAGGAGTCCAAGGCAGGAGCATTCTCCAGACACACTACATCCAATTCTCTTCCAGGTCCCTGAACTGAGAGGAGTTTATTGGTTGTGGGTGTGTGTTGGGAACCCAAGAAGTAAGAGTGAGCTTCTGCTGAGGCTATGAGTGGGTTGGGGAGAGAACTTGGGGTTCTTGCAGGGAGGAAGGATTCTCACTTTGTCATCAGGCGTCTTCTTCTCAGTCTTCTTATCCCTTTCAGGGAGCCCTGGGATGGGAAACACCAACAAACTGGTTCCTGGAGGGCAGTCCTCATTCTTTTACCTATCTGTAAAAGGGCCTGTCCTGTCCTTTGCTCCTCCACCCCCCATGCCACAGTTGAGCCTCTGATCCTACTCCATCTCTGTGGCTAGGTGACACTCACCATCCCGGGGTTTGCCTTCTTCTGGTCTGGCTGACTCTGGCTCTTCCTCCATCATGGCTGCTAGAGGCTGGAGGGGGCAGCAGAGTTAGGAAGATTCTGTCTTAGGAAACCATGCTTGCCCTGGCTCTTTACAGTCGGGTCAGAGAACTATAGAATGAGATGTCAGGGTTGGAAGAAGCCTGGGAGGAAACATCTAGTACAACCACCTGCCTAATAATGCAGGGACTTTCTCTAAAACATTGAGGCAGGTGGGTTACCTACATTGTGCTTTAATGTAGTTAATGACAAGAAGTTCACTGCCTTACAAAGTAACTCTATGCAATTTTGGGGCAATTCCCTACATTAAGCCTATGTCATTATGTCAATTCCCTACATTAAGCCTACAGTCTCCCTGTAACTTTTAGTTATTAGTACTGATTTGTCCTCTGCAGCAATAAATGCAATTATTTAAATATCTGAGGACAGCTGACATGTTTCTATTTCTTTTCTAATCATTCTTCTCTAATCATTCTTAGTCCATTCAAATCATCCCCACGATCCTTCACTATACCATCTGCCTTTAAAAATACTCCAATGTGTAAGAGAAAAATGGGCAGAAGTTTTCATAATTCCCTAAAAGAATAGAACCTAAGGATAATAATTTTAATACCATTTTTAAAAATAAAAAAGGAATAGAACCCATGAGTGTGCTAGCCCTTCTAGAAGCAGCCAAATCACACCGCTAGTCCCTTGTAAGTCATAGTTCACTCCATAGAAATTCCTAATCTGTGTCCAACCTCCATATCAACTACTTTGAGGCCAGATCTCTAGTTCTGTTTTTGTGCAGTTGATGTTTTTTATCCAAAAATAGATATGTATATTTTCCTTATGAAATTTCAAATTATTATTATTTTTGGCCTTTTCTTCTAGTCTCTAAGAGTTTTAAATATATTATTCAGTATATGTTTTTCCTCCTATCATTTCCATAAACTTAATATACCATTTATATCTTTTTTTACATCAGTGAGAAAAATGTCCATAGGTGAAGACCATGGACCAAATTAAAAGGCATCAGAAATATCCCTCTAGCTGGACACTCTCTAAAGCACCTGGGCTCTTTGGGTATGCCATTCAACCAATTTTTAGACTCCATCTAACTGTAACCATCATCCATCCCGGTCCATCTGGTTGTCCAGAAAGACATAAGAATACTCTAACAGGCCCAGAGGCTCATGTCTGTAATCCCAGCACTTTCGGAGGCTGAGGCAAGAGGATTGCTTGAGGCCATGAGTTCGAGATTAGCCTAGGCAACATAGTGAGACCCTGTCTCTACAAAAAATGAAAAAATTAGCCAGGAGTGGTGGTGCACGCCTATAGTCCCAGCTACTTGGGAGGCAGAGATGGAATTGCTTGGGCCCAGGAGGTTGGTTATGGTGAGCTATGATTGCACCACTACACTCCAGCCTGGGCAATAAAACAAGACCCTGTCTCTAAGAAAAAAAGAATATCCTGGCCGGGCGCTGTGGCTCACGCCTGTAATCCTAGCTCTTGGGAGGCCGAGGCGGGCGGATTGCTCAACGTCAGGAGTTCAAAACCAGCCTGAGCAAGAGCGAGACCCCGTCTCTACTATAAATAGAAAGAAATTAATTGGCCAACTGATATATATATCAAAAAATTAGCCGGGCATGGTGGCGCATGCCTGTAGTCCCAGCTACTTGGGAGGCTGAGGCAGAAGGATCACTCGAGCCCAGGAGTTTGAGGTTGCTGTGAGCTAGGCTGATGCCATGGCACTCAAAAAAAAAAAAAAAAAAGAATATCCTAACAAATTTCTGAATGCAAGTCTATGGCATTACCAACCTAGTAAGCCTATTACAAAAGGAAATTGCTCTTGGCCAATAATCAGTAATCAGTAATTTTGGCCAATAATCAGTAATTTTCTGATTACTTAGCATGACAAGTTCTCTTCCCCAAATCCAAAAGCATAGGTCTTGCCTCTGTCACTCAGCACTGCCAAGGGCCCAGGGACTAGCTTTCAGGTGGTTGTGATGGTTAATCTGACAATCTCAGAAGGGAGTTGAGAAAACACATTCTATGGCAGGAATTCTTAACCTGACACCTATGGTGAGCTGTAGCAGGTCCAAAACACCCTCTAACATTGCAATGCAAAAATCTGTCTATTGGGCTATGTGTAATTCTAATAGGATCCATAGCTTCTATCATTCCAAAGGGGGAAATGTCCTGCCCCATGGGGCCTCTGGGAGATAACTCAGTGGGAGATATGGTGCTCACATTTTTCTTATCTGCCTGTCCCTTCTTCCGTTCCTTGTTTGCCATGATCACCCCAGTGCGTAGGGTTTCAAACACAGGGTCATTGCGATTGGCAGTAGCTAGTAGAATGGGTGGAGAAAGAAGACATTACTGGGGAGGCAGAGAAAGGCTTGGAGTAAAGAGAGAGATCACCAAAGGGAGAGATGGGATTGAGTATATGGATACCCATGGGGAAGTGTGGGGTGGAAGGATTAGGGAAGGGTCAGCTGGGCAATACCTAGGTCACCAATCTATAAAGGTTTCTACAAACATCACTGGTGATGTAATGTGATGGAGAAAAATATTTACCGGAACTCCTTCCAGAGAGTATTATATGATACTGGAAAGACAATTTTGGTAAGTTGCTTGGGAGTTGGGGCATGCTCTGAATCACTACTCTCTTTTTAAGGAGAGTGGTCCCTTAACTGCTGGCTTTTGTTCTGCTGAGTGGCATGTACAAGCTGGGGTGCTACAACCACCACGTTCTTCTTTTACACCCATACTCCTTACAGAGTTCAGCTTCTCCTCCAAATAAATGTTGGGCAAACTATCAATGAATATGTTTTTAAGGGTTACCAAATTATGAATGTGCCAGAACAGCTCTTGTTCTGGCCCTGAGTCTGGTATGACTCTGTAACAAGGATGAGGACAGTCTCGAATCCTTGTTCTTGCTTAGAGATGGTTTTTCACATGAAGAACTTATATCTGAAGCTAGCAACTGAAGGTTCAGTCTTGGCTCTACTCTTGCTAGCTCTATGTAGCTGCAGCTAAGTCTAATCTTCCACTATAAAACAGGGGAATATTGACTCTGTATCCAAATGGCTATTAAAATATTATGTTGAGGGAGAATCATGGGAAATAGAGTTTCTG